TTAATTATTATTATAAATGGAATAGGTCACAAGAAAGTCAAAGGAATATAATGCCATTATAGTTAGTCAAAAAAAATAAAAATACACCAAATAAATGGAAAACCAGCGTTCATATCTCACCTACTATTCTTTGACTTTTCAAATTTTCATCACAACTACATTTGGTTTTTTCAAATTTTAATTAACTGGACTATTTAAAAAGAAAAAAAAAAACAAGCTACGTACTAAATGTGTATTTTTTTTCTATAACCCCATTCATATAAAGATTTCGTTAACTGAAATAAATCAATAAAATTCTTGACTTTCCAAATATAAACCAATTACGAGATCCTTTGATATCTTTATTATAAAAGTCAAGAATCTTTTCCCTTAGAGAGAAAAATAAATAAAAAATACACTGAAATAAACGTTTGTTGCCCATTTTATAGGATCTCGTGCAAATAATTCAGGCATAGGCACAGTGACGTATCCATCTTTACGACCCTATCTCTAATACATTTGACCCCAAAAAGATCCATTTAATTCTCGATTCCATTTCACACTTTTTCTGTGGAATAAATCTGTCTGTTACGAATCTTGCTTGGTTTCTTCTTTTGGAGTGTGAGCAAGAAATTCTCTTGAAGATCAAGAAGACATAAAACAGACTTTGAATTGGAGAAGAAAGTGAAAGGGTTCTTTGAAGAGGAGACACAAGATCCATTATAAGTGAATCTTGGTCTGAATCATGGTCATGGATACGAGTGAAGCTAAGAACCGTAAAGTTATGGCAGTGGAAAAGATCGATCTCGAAGTCCCTGAGACTGCTCATCAGATTAGTAGCGGTTCGGATTTCTTTATCTTTTTTCTCCCTTTTATTTTTATTGAAAATATTTTGTCATATCTTTGTTGTTTTTTTCTTCCTTTTTGGGGTGAATCATGTACTTACTTGTCTGTTTATTGTGTGATCTCAAGCTTTTTGTAAGAAAAGTTTTGTTCTTTTGTCTTTGGAAAATCAAAGTGTACTCAATTTGGGGGATTCGATGTTTCTTTTTAGTTCCAAAAAAAAAAAAAGAATTTGATAAAACTTTTTCTCTTCTTTATCAGATTCACTAATAACTTTGATGCTTGGATATCAAGTGTAATATCCATATTTTAGCTACTGAAAACTGAAACATCAATGAAATGAAATCATATAACTGTTTTATTAAAAAAAATGTTGTCTTTGATGATTCAAGAATGTGAAAATTCGATATTGAATTTAAGTTTCTCACTTCCTCCAAGTTTTTTAGCTAGAAAACTGGA